ACAAGAAAAAAGAAAAAAATAGTAAAATATAAAAGAATGCCAGTTTTCTGATTAATTTTTTGTAAAAAGTGTCACTAGAGACTAGATACCCGAGGTATGTAAATATGTAAGTATTTTTTCCTGCACAACTATATTTACATATCTGATGACTCAATATGTGCAATGCATCTTTTTTTCCTCAAGGTGGCACTGTTTGATACACAATGATGACGTGACGTTTCACTCATAATTACCGCAGGCATAAAACAAACGAATATCATCAGCAAAATTGTAAGTGCTTTGAATGGCTTTACTGCAGAGCAATTACTATACACAATGAAATATAAATGTCACTGTCATTTGATGCTGGATGTGGTGAATAAGCTGCCAGTGATGAATGTACTGTGTAAGTGCGCTCTGACGATGACAGCGATGGTAGAATCATCTGCTCAAATTGAACCCTTTGAAGTTTCAAAAGGTAACGAAATATGCTTTATTTTATTCTTCTGTAATTGTTCTTAAAATATCAAGAGAGTTTTTTTTGCTATTGCAGCAGTTAAAGATCCATCCGTGCTGTATAGGTCCGGGTCACTAAAGACCCGAATATGTAATAATGATTGGCGAAACATTTAAGGGTTAATGGAGGTTTGAAAAAACAAAAAATGCACATGCAATTAAAATATGTAACTGATCGAACAAAAACAGTGGAGATCTGACAAAAACAGGTCTCAGAGAGGTGTTTATTACAAATTCAAATTAAAGCACATGGAGTTGGCAGAGTGCGAGGGTCGTGGCGGGATACGGATCCGTCACTCATGGTGCACCTCGGTGTCGGACAAACAAAAGAAGTGAGGAATATTTAACAGCAGCGGTCACAGTCATGATGAGGCGAGCACCAGTGAAGTTTCTCAGGCCCGCTCCGTGTGTCTGCTGGGCGGCGATCAAACGGACAGGGCAGCGCTTTTCACGAGCGGAGATCGCTACTGGACGAATCATGTAATTTGTTATTTTAATTTTTTTAATCTCTGTTCTTTTGTCGTAAGTTATGCTATTACTCCAGTAATTTATAGCCTACTAGCCTATCCAGCGCTCCCTGAACGCAGTCTCTGGTTTATTGCCAGTCAAGCGCAACGCTGCAGGGACGCGCCTAACGACTTTGATCTGATCATAAAGTCTTTCCGAGTCACAGGGCTCAAGTCCAAATCAAGTCTCGAGTCATTGCTGTCAAAGTCTAAGTCGAGTCTCAAGTCTTCTTTAATTATGTTGAGCCGTAAGTCATCAAATTTGGGACTCGAGTCCGAGTCAAGTCTCGAGTCAAGTGACTCAAGTCCACACCCCTGATTCTTAGTTGTGTTTCCACAAAAAAGAAACAGGGAAGTAATAAATTAGTCATTTGACATGTTTACATGTCACCTTCCACACCCCAAAAAACAAAAAGTAAAGTTGGTGACTGTCATTGACATTCTTTTTTTCCAATCTTTAAGTTAAATTAGATTAACACTCACACATTAAGAGGAGTTAGTAAAGATAAAAAATATCAGATTTCAGCTGAAAGTTACTAATTAAAGATTTGTTACTAATTAAATATAACTTATATTAAATATAACTAAAATATAACACTGTACTGAACAAGCAACGGTAGTGGTAATGGTTGTCTACATTTCCTCCTGCTTTCTGAAGCTCAGGTGGCTTCTTCAAAGAAGTCTGTCCTACTCTGTGCTACTCTCAACTTTCACAGACAAGCCTGCGTAACTGTATTTCCTGCTTTTGGTTGCAAAGTTCACTAGAACAAAGTCACCACCTTACAGCTTTTTGTTCTCTGTTCACATGCTCTGAAATGTCAGTTCTATAGGTTTGTGACATTTACATTCTTCATATATAC